ATCTCGCGGTCTGTGGGTTCGAGCCCCGCGTCGGGCTCTGTGCTGACAGCTCAGAGCCTGGAGCCTGTTTCAGATTCTGTGTCTCCCTCTCTCTCTCTCTGACTCTCCCCCGTTCATGTTCTGTCTCTCTCTGTCTCCAAAATAAATAAACATGAAAAAAAAAATTAAAAAAAAAAAGAAAGAAGATGAACTTCCAACTCAGACCGATGGACTTCCACTCCCATGAGTGACTGCAAGTTGAGGCTAACCGGAAAAACTTCCCAAGGCAGATGGCTTCAAGGCACAAACAGCTTACGTGAGACCTTCAGATCAAGGAGATGACTTTGGAAGTGCCAATTCCACCCACGACAATGAAACAAAAACAGAACTTTTTTTTTTTTATGCCCAATTAAAGTGACTGACTTCCTTGTAAGATTGCTAATGTGTAACTATGGGCTACCGCTTTCCTTTTCTATATTCTCTATAACTCTGCTTTTCTTCATTTCCTTTACCTTGTTTCTGAGAATGATCAAACCACGGCCTCCTCTGCTAAACTGACCTCTTAGTGAACCTGTTACCCATTTTGAACTCCAGAGGTCACTCAAATCATGGGAACACCTCTGCTTTAATGCTGGCAAACAACCCCATCAGAACATCATCTCTATACTTTAGAACATACAGCAAATATTTCCAGACCCAGACACTCAGGCTGGTTGCTCTATAGAATTACACACAGCCAATATTTTATCCAAAGAGCAAAATCAATCAGCTCTTCAAATAATCCTGGGTGTCTATGGTACTTTCAGGACCCATGCAACTGTTGGAGAAAATGACCAAAGGAAATAAAAATACACAGCAAGCTCACCGAGAAATCCCATACAACAACAGTAGAAATACCTCCTATATTACAACTTACATACTAACTCTTAAGGTAACACCTTGTGAAACATAGAAAGGAAAAATGCCCTTGTTCAGAAAAAGTATGCTACAAAGTGTCGACTGAAAGAGTTACCACTGTCATCATAATTCAGGGGAAAAGACATACACTTTCAACTCTATGTATAGATCATATCAATTATGTAGCACCAGGCCTGCTCTTTATCTGTGACTTCTGTGTATACTGTTCTTGGGATTTCTTACTGGCTACTACGAAGTTTTAAATCCTGTTTAGTCCCGACCATCTGGGTCTCTTCAGAGGTCTCAAAGGCGTGACCTTCCAGAAGTCAGAGGAGTTTGAGGGGATTTTACCTTGGTTAGGGCTCCCTGAATTCGAGAGATGCATCAGGGACTTATCCTTCACAATGGCTGAAATTAAAAATGAGACCATATACATCACAGAGACCCAGGAAAAGAGCTTTGATTTGCTTGCTCCCTTGGCAATTAATGGACCATTACACAGTTTTACAATATTTATTGGCCTCACAACGGGGGGCATCTGCACTCTGGCTATATTTCCTATTGTTTCTAGGTAAACACTTCAGGACAAGAAAAAAAAATGTCTTTAGAAAAGACAGACACATGCTGATTATTCTCAAAGGTTTGACAGTATGAGACTTGGAGTCTATTCTCCCGGCACGGGCTAGGTCACATGAAAAAAACTGGCCTTCTGAACTTTTCTACAACTATAATGATGGGATTTCTCATAATAATGATCCTGTTTGTCTTTCTCCAATGCATTTTCAAGATAGTCTTTAAGAGGGCAACTGAAGTGTGATGACTAAATGATGATTCTATATTAGAAGAATCTAGAAGGTTGTGATCAACCTTCATACCCTAGGATGACAAATCCTTATATGGCTGCCCAGCCTGGTCCATAAGTATTGTTTCCACACTGCATGCCCAATGCTCTTCATAGTTAATTTTTGTTAAACAGCACACATAGGAACGTATGGTAGAAAGCAGTATTTCCGTGGGATTTCTCAGCAATATCACAGAAATACTAAGGATTCGGCTCCCACTATTGTTCAAGTTACTCATCTATTAGGAAATACCAGAACATCAGGGCAATTTTTTAAAAGATAAAAATGTTTCAACAGCAGAATTATTCTTGGATTAGGGATGGTAATCCACCATGAACTATTTCATTAATTTGACAGAAAAACATTTTGAGTTTTTCATAGAAAAGCCATAAAACTGATCTAAATACGTGTTTAGCATTTAAAAAGCAAAATTAAGAGACCAGGACTAGGCAAGTGATAAGAAATACACTGAGCTAATCATCCTTTGAAAATCAAAACATTTATGTACGATTCCATTAGTGTGCACAAAAAGTAAATTTATTTTAGGATGTATACCAAGGGAACATTTTGAATGCCTGCTATCCTGGTGTTAAGGCACGTAAGCCCAGCAATATTCACAGCCTTGATCTTGACAGAGTCTGCCTCTTAGTAGCATGTCTCCTGAAACGTTCATTCTACAAGTTGGAAATTATAAAGTGAAGTTTTTCAAAGCTTAGAACATCAAAAATGCCATTTAATTTACTTTACACACATAGGTTATTCCAAAAGGTTTGAGGTGGTGGGAGAGGAATATACAGAGTAACACTAGCCAGAAATAATCCCATAAAAAAAAAAAATACTGATGAGCAGACACGAAACTTGAACTTTTTTACTTGAAAAGTTCACGTAAACAAGGAATGGAATAAATAAAAGATTATACCTCTACCCTAAAATTTAGAAAAGCCGAGTTTCCTACGGTTAGAGGGGGAAAACTACCAACACCTTTAAAAAATGCTTTTGCTAAAATTCAAAAACATCCTTCTCAAAAAGAAGCTGTAAAAACCAGAAACCGGGGGGTAATGTTTAAAATTAAGTAGTGTTCACCCTATCCAGAGATTTGTAGATGAATATCAAATATGAATTATGATCCAGAGAATAGAATTTTTCTTCTATTTGTTTAATGGGAACCATTACAAGCAGAACTGTCCAAAAGGTTATTCCAAAGAAAAATAGGTTCTAAAGTGAAACCTAAAAAGCATTTCAGTAACCAAATATCTGAGAGAAGCTTGAGGACCTGACAAAGGGTGTCTGGTGGCCTAGCCGGTTGGAGATCCCACTTCTGCCCAGGTCATGATCTCAAGGGTTCGTGGAGTTCCAGCCCCATCAGGTTGCCTGAGCCTGCTTCAGATTCCCCTGTGGGTTCTCCCTCTCTGCCCTCCCATCCCCCCACTCATGCTCTGTCTCTCTCTGTCTTAAAAATATAAATAAAATTTAAAAAAAAAAAAAAAGAAACGTGTGCAGAAGGCTGACCCATTTCCATGTGTTCTTGCAGCTTCTGTCTTCATTGAGAAGAAATCCTCCAACTCTTCCTAAATTCCCCAGGCAGTGGACCCTACCAGAAGATTAAGGAATTCTTTATTGCTCTTGAGTAGTTCTTAACCTTGAATATACATTTTAATCACCTGGGAAGGTCTTTTTTATTTTTGAATACCAATGCCCAGGCCCTATCCCAGATCAATGAGATCAGAATCCCTGAGAACACAACGCAGGCATTTTTAAAGCTCCCAGAGGCTCTAATGTGCAGCCAGCGCTGAGACCCACTAAGTAACCTACAAAAATGCTGAGGAAAATCAAGGATGACCATGCTTACCATGTGTTTGACCTTCAGTTGTGAAAGAAAAAAAAATGTTCAGGGAGACAAGTTTTCTTTTTTGCTAATCCTAGGCAACCCCTCTCATTGAGCTTACCCTCTAGTGCAAGATGCTTAAATTCCTCCAGATAATGACACCTACCATGACTGAGCTCTTATCTGGTGCCAGGCACTGTGCTGAGCACCACTCCCCACATTATCGATAATCCCCATTATCCTGCAACACAAGTATTAAGTCCATTTACCTGGGCAGCCATGAAGAGGGGCTAAGGTGCCCCTATCATAGAGCATGAAGAAAGCGGAACTGGGACCTATGTATTTCAAAGTTACCCTTTTGCTTTCTTTTAATTTTATTTTTAAAAAAAAAATTTTTTTTTCAACGTTTATTTATTTTTGGGACAGAGAGAGACAGAGCATGAACGGGGGAGGGGCAGAGAGAGAGGGAGACACAGAATCGGAAACAGGCTCCAGGCTCTGAGCCATCAGCCCAGAGCCCGACGCGGGGCTCGAACTCACGGACCGCGAGATCGTGACCTGGCTGAAGTCGGACGCTTAACCGACTGCGCCACCCAGGCGCTCCTCTTTTAATTTTATAGATTTGTGCTTTGAAAGGTAATCTAATCACATTTCACAGGTTTAAAAAGTAGAAAGGTTTATAAGGTATATAAAAAGTAAACCTCACTCATAATTTCTTCCTGTCACAACTGAAGTTCAAATACACAGAGGCTTCAGTCATCCTCGACTCCATCAATGAGCTTATCACCCGGCTACTCAATCCCTCTCCCTGGAGACAAACAGCAGTTTCTCATGGATTCTTCCAAGGATATTTAATGCATACATAAGCAAATATATGTATGTGAGTTTATGTGTGTGTACACACCATCTATTTGGATTCTTCCCCACCCCATTTTGAATGACACGGTTTTTTTCATTTTAACAATATTTCTCAGAGACAATTCCACATGGACACATAAACGTTTACGGTTCTTTTTTGTACTACATAGTATTCCATTGTATAGATTTGCCATTACTTTTTTAGTTAGGCTCTTATTGATAGGCATTAGATTGCTGCCAATTATTTGTGGTTATTAAAAAATTGGTATGAACAGCCTTGAGTAACATCATTTCATAATTAGAGATAATTTATACCCACAGAATAAATTCTTAGATGTCAAGTCATGCTCTTTCCACTATTCCATGCTGCCTCAGGATTCTAAGAAACAACTCAGACTCACAATGATTCATATTTTAAATTGCTTTATTTAAAAATTTTACCGAAGTACCCAAATTATGCTTTTTACTTTAACAAAAAATTAGAAATCATTTTTCAGAATATGCTCAAAAACCAAAATAGTAGGAGACATGGTTTTACGCCAGAGAAAAATGACTTCAAAACCAGTGGCACAAGTATTATGCTGGTTCTCACTTCCCTTTCAGAAGGTATCTGCTCCTGAGGACTCCGTGTCCCCCTGGATGTTGCTAACGCTCAGAGACTGAGAGCAGTCCTCCGGCTTCACCGCGGGCAGCGTCACAGACATCTTGGCAGGTGACGTCTGTGAAGTGAAAAGTGGGACTGTTTTACCACCTGTAAAAAAGGAGAAACTCATTCAGCTAAATAAGCATGTCCTGAGCATTTATGTGTTTTAAACTTTCTTAAATAATACGGGGGGGATCAAAACAAGGATTGCATATGAGGTCATTTCTTTTCTCAAGGAGCTCAGAACTTGTCCGAAATGAACCACACCTTCCCTCTTTCCGCTCCCACCCCTAGACAATTATAGACCACATTTTAAAAGTATGTTACAATTTCAACTTTTATGCCCTCCCCTGCAACATTCATATGGTGAAATGTTAATGCCTGACATGACTACACTATAGTCATAGTATTAGGAGGTGGGGGCTTGGGAGGTACTTAGGTCATGAAGGTGCAGCCCTCACAAATAGAATTTATAAAAGAGAGCCTGTTAGCCCCTTCCACCATGAGAAGGCAATCACTATGAACCAGGAAGAGGCGACTTGATTTTGGACCCCTGGCCTCCAGAACCGTGAGAAATAAAATTTCTGTTGTTTATAAGCCACCTGGTTGGTAGTGTTTTGTTACGGCAGCCAGAGTGGACTAAGACAGTACCCAAATGCCAAAAGTTGTGGTACACATGACAGATGCCAGGCAAGACCAAGTAGGGTGAGAGCCTAGACCTACCCTCTTACTGAGTAACCTTGACAAAATGTTTCACACTCAGAATTTCAGTTCTCCTATGTTAATAGTACCGACCTTGCAGCGTGTAATGAGGATAGAATAGTCTCAGTAAAGAGCTTGACAACAGAGCTCGGCACTTAGTAAGTGCTCAAAAACTAAGAGTTACCAGCACCACTGGACGGTACTATTTAATATAGTACTATCACTACAATTACCATCAAGTAAACAGTGAAGCCCAATTCAAAAACACACTGGAACAGCCCTAAAATAAGGGTTTGCTATTAAAGTTACAAAAAGAACGTGATTTTTTTTTTTTAAAGCCATGATGTGAACCATCTGAAAACCATCTGAAGTCAAAGGTTTCCAAGGCACTTCACTCTTTTTCCTACTCCTAAAAAATGGACACTCAACTCATGTCATTAATGCTCATTTCTGAGTGTCTAAGAGTGCTGTGCTATTAGCTAACAGAAGTGATAGAAGGAAAGCAACATCAAAAGAAAAAATAATAAAGTGATCATTCAAATATCATTGACATTTGACTTTGGAAAGCATTTTTCCTTGTAAAATAGACTTTTCTTCATTATCTCTACATTTAGCCAAATACAAAAAAAAGCTTCCACCCCGTGGATTGAGACTAGCGGGAGGCAATATAGAAGCTAGCTGGTGGCAGAGGAGACCCAGTCGGGGATGAAGAATTCATTAGTATGTTAAAAAAAAAAAAATCCAGATTTGACTGTAAATGTCGTCTATCTGCCTATACCCTAATTCACTTCTTTACGTTTAAAGCACACTGCCTAAGAATATGAAGAATGCCAACTTGGTATTATTTAAGACCACAAAGATCCTCATTTCAAATTTTATGGTCTTACCATATATACCTAAGAATAATAAGTGTCTTAAAAACAAATTATCTTTAACAATCTTAGAGAAATCTGTGAGTCAAGAGTCGTAGTCATTTTTCTAAAGCTCCTTTATATTTTTCAAGTAGTTTTCACAGTAGTAAAGTGGATTCTCTGTTACATTTTTATAGGGACCACAGTAAAAGTAGACAGTTCTGGAGATTTCAATGATGACTCAATCACAGCTGTCCAAGAAAATCGGAATACTTGTAAAAGCCAAATTCCTTTCATTTTAGGAAGTCTTATAAAGGCTTTTAATATTATACCATTCCTTTTTGTTACTTGTGTCGAATTCATTTTTTTTTTAATAAAAGAGGGTAAGGTAATAAGATTTGGCATCATTATAGCAACATCATAAACTGTAATACCATAGTATAATCTTTTAAGAAGAAAACAATTTTGATGTCAACTTAAATAGAATAAACTTTTACATAAGAAAAGGCTTTTTGAAATTTAGCTTTGTCGGGATATGCTAAAAACTAAAATTAAGACACAATAAGAACCGCTTTTGAAAAAGATCAAAAGGGGCACCTGGGTGGCTCAATTGGTTGATCGTCTGACTCTTGGTTTTGGCTCAGGTCATGATCCCAAGGTCATGGACTTGAGCCCTGTGTCGGCCTCCACATTCAGTGTGCACAAAACCAAGAGAAGTATCTAAAATCAGAGCTTACTTCCTCAATAAAGTAAAAACTAACAGAGCATAACTAAAGCCAAAAGCAAAATTAATTTTCAGCCCAATGTTCAATGTTATCTTCCCCCAATTAGTCAGAAAAAATCCATTCCTTTAGTTGCTTGCATAGCTGTCAAAAATCAAACTGATACCAGATATTCGTCTTTTCTCTGTTATCTGATGTCACAAAACTGCTTTATATGTACCTTTATTTTCTGTTATGTGCAGTAAATTACTGATTAAATTGCTCAATGATGTAACAAGAGCTATAACTATTTTTTTTCAGATCTTGAAGAAATTTACAAGTCTCAGAGAACATATTAAATTTGCAGCCACTAAAGTTATGCTATTTTTTGTAGTTAATGCCTCATATTTACACAGCAATTCAAAATTTTACAAAGATCTTGTTCCCATCATCTTCTCTCATCCTGACAGTAATTCTGAGAGACAGACAAGGCGACTGACGCCCAGAGACATTAAAGTGGGTTTTTTCAAACCATATTCTCACTAGCTAAACATCTCTACTAGCCTATTGTATGTGTGGAGCTGAGATGGTGCTGAGAGATTCACAGATGAAAAAGAAATAGTCCTCATCCTCAAGAAGCTCATAACCTAGGAGTGGCGACAGACATGTATAGTGATACTTAGTTTAAATGAAGTCGAAGTAGCAGTTGAAGTAGGATTTAAAAGAAAAAGGAAAAGAGAACAAAATTAAGTCCATGTAAAGTCAGCATGTTGAAGGAACTCTGTTCTGCTGTCCAAGTATTGATGGGATTGGAGGAATGAATGGTGAGAGAGGAAGGCTGTAAAGGAAGGTCAGGGTCAAGTTCTGTAAATGATGATGAGTCACAAAAGATTCTGAAGACAGAAGTAAGATGACCAGATGCAGTTTAGAAAAGAGAATTCCAACAGCTGCGTGGAAAATAAGGAGGGAGGAGAGAGATCTATGGAAACAGTCCATGTAAAAACTGATGATACTTGCCAGTGGAAAGAGGTATTTTGGAGAGAGACTCAGAACTAATGAAGAATTGAGTATGGCTCTGAAATTACAGGGTTAGTTGACTAACATAGGCAGTAAGAAGAACACAAACAAGCTTGAGGCTACGGTGGTATACAGAGGTGTGGAGATACTGGGATTAGTTATATACCTGATGAGTGTGGATGCCTATAAGATGTGTGAATGGACTTTTCCAGCAGGCAACTGGAATCAAAGGTGCCAAAGACTGTAAGGCAGTTTTAGAGACAGAATTAGCAGTCATCTATATAGAGAAAATAATTAGAATAATGAGAACAGTAATCACCTAGGAGAGAAAACAGAGAAGGGAAATGAAGACAAAACTATAAGGAAGGACAAAGAAAGGTGAAAGAAGAGAAAATAAAGAAAAACAAAAGGGAATGTCAGAGAGATAAGTAGAAAGAGACCCAAGAATGAAGAGTCACACAAAGTAACAGATGGTTTTCAAAAAAAAAAAAAAAAAAAACAAGTCTACTATAATTCATCTAATTAATTCACAACTGGCAGTGTTGAGGTAACTCATTGCTTTTTGTCCTGTATCAAGTATCTTCATTACCCAAAATACATTACTTTTAAAGGTGGTTAAAATAAATCCCATTGATGTAATATGCAATGGGAGGGGCAGGCAAGGAGAGGAGCAGTGATGACGTTTCAAGCTTTCAAGTCCCTTTATGATAGGTCAAGTCTGGGGCCCAAATGAGATCTACTGTCCAGTCACTTGGGAACTGTCCCATCCAAATTGTCAGTGTGAGGCTTCTGGAATAGGGCAGAGCTGGGCTCATCCATCTATCCAGTCAACAAATATCGACTGAGCACTGACTATGTGCCAGGCACCATTCCAGATTCTGGAGATTCAGCAGTGAAGAAAACAAAAGCTCCGATCTCACTGCCACCACCTTCCAGCTGAGTGTAGGGCAAATGACAAACAAGTAAGGAAATAAACATAGAACATGTCAGGAGGTGATAAGTGCTATAAAGAAAAATAGGTGATGGCTAAGAGGGGTAGTGAGTGATAACAGACTCTGGGAAAGTTATGTAACTTCTGCAAACCCTAGTTTCCTCATCTTTTAAAGATAAGAGTTACCTTCTTCAGGAGTGGGGGGTTTATGAGGATTAAATGAGATAATGCACACGCAGTGTTCTGTATAGTGCTGGCACATAGAAAGCACTCAAAATGGATTAGCTCTTACTTTTACATAACTGGAAACAACTATCCTAAGAGGCAATGGCCCTCAGGATGGACTAAAAAAGGCAATCTGCTTTAGAGGGGATTACAAATGTTTCAGTGAAATGCACTAAGAAAAAAACCCCATAGCTCCAGAAGGCCTCCAAATAGTTATGCTATTTCAACTCTAGTAATTGTGTGTTAGTCAATGAGTTGAGTCAATAAAATGCACCATTTTATCTAAAGTGTTTGTAAATGTGCATTTTGGAAAGACTTTTTGAAGTGTTCATTTACACAGGTTAAACAGTCGTTTTGAACTTTAAAAGAGAACTTTTAGACGGGGAGCATTTTTAAAAATCACTTTGATGACTGTTACCAGGCAAAAGCAGTAACCTTCATATCCAGTTATGGTCCTCACAGAATTTAATTTTTTTTTTTTAAAGAAAAAAGACATCATATCTTAATAAATCATCATTAAATCAAACATACATTTTCTACCTATATTAAATGTAGTTTGATGCTTTTAAAGTTTGACTTTAAAAATTTCCACAGTCATGTCGTTACTCTATGACGTAATTGTTTCAACAGCTGTTTTCAGAGTTTTTTTTTAAAGAGACTACTCCTTGATTCCATGTACGTCATTTAACTTGGCATACATTTAAGCTGGGATACCATTGAGTCAGACAGTGTATTTGAAGCTTCCTAAGACATATTTTAATATATCTTTTAGATGTTTGAAATTCAATTATTTTTGCTTTAATAATATTTCAAATTCATAAAAAAATTTTGTTTGATATTAGATTTCTAAGACTAAGGAACAGAAAAGTTAAAACTAATTTTTTCTGAGTAATACAAGTAATAATACAGGATTTTTTAAAGTTATTTATTTATTTAGAGAGAGAGAGAGAGAGTGTGTGTGAGCACAAGTGGGGGAGGAACAGAGAGAGAGAGAGAGAGAGAGAGAGAGAGAATCCCAAATAGGCTCTGCACTGTTAGCGCAGATCCAGACGCAGGGTTCGAACTCATGAACCGTTGAGATCGTGACCTGAGCTGAAATTAAGAGTCAGACGCTCAACTGACTGAGCCACCCAGGCACCCCAATAATATAGAATTTTTAATGCCCACTTAAGATTTTCCCTATGAAGTTGTGTTTTATGTGCAAAAGAAATTTTTGCCTATATGTTGTACGTATATTTCTAAAAATATGCCTAACGCTGTAAAAGCTTTTTGGGTTTAGATAATGCATTTCATCAGCAGGTTTCAGATTCTGACTCTAATCCTCAAACATTTGGCAATCCATTATTCTATCTGTGTCACTTGCAAACTGAGAGGAATCCAAACAAAGCATTCTCTCCTAACACATGAGACAAGCAGAGAAAGAAGGAAAAGTTTCTTTAACAGCTTTATAGAAGAAGAGTATAGCATCTCAAACTCTTCATTCAGATTAAGTAACACACAAGGCACAAGTGATATATACGAATCTGTGGCATTCTTCTGTGATATGATGAATAGATAGCTGAATGACTTTAAATTGTTTGGATTTGGGTTTTTCTACATGAAAACAAAGATTGGTTTCTTATAAACTACAAATTTAAAAGTAAAATTAAAAAGGAAACAAATGTAATCGTCTTTAATCCATGTACATAAAGGATCTTAAGCATGGATGAATGACCGGGATCTGCGAATGCCCTGAAAAATTATGAAGTTATTTTCACACAAGTACAGTGTGGGAGGGAAACAGATGGTCATAGCTTTCAGTTCTCTAAAGGGATCGGTGCCCCGCAAATATTTAAGAACCACTGACTTAAAGGATATTCCAGCCCCATGTGCAAGTGAATCACATTCTTTGAGCTGTTTTTCCAGCACTAGAGGTGAAATACAGGAATTCCTGTCCTGTTAATTGTGGATGCCTTATTCTCTCTGAAGATAATTTGGTAATTTGCACTTACCAAACTGCACTGTAATTATTTATGAGTCTGTCACTTGCTCTGAGTAATATACCCCTTAAGAGCATGGACTGGGACTTCTAGTCTTTGCTGTCTGACTAGGACAGTAGGTACACAGTAAGTATCTGTGGCCTTATCATCTCAATCGTTATTTGCTTGTGGGTCTGTTCCTGTTGAACATGTGCTTCAGCAGGACAGTGACTTTGTCTTATTTACCTCCGCATTCTACAAAGCTTTAGCATAATGGTAAGCACACAGCGGGCCTTGCAATGATTGCTGAACCAAACTGATCGGCTTCCACCTCAGCAGTCTGTGGTTTCTCCTTAACAGCTTGCTTACATTCGCAGCGACCAGATCCTGTCTTTAAAATCAGCCCTGAGTTCCAGCAACGCAGTTGCTTCCCAGCTGTCTGTGAAAATGTTACAGTATTTCAGCTGTATTTTTATTGAGCTCTTGAAGCATTTTTCCTGTCCACCCTGGGCTCATCTACTCTCCCTTTAATTCCTTGTTTAAGCAGCTGCTAAACTATCCTGCTGTATTCAATTCTCCTCACATACTTACCCCGGCTCTACAGATTTTGCAGCACCATAGCTTCAGTGCTTGAGAACAAATACTACGAGTCTATATGAAGAAGGTGCCTGGTCATTTGATGTGAAGTACAGTATGTGATATCTTATTTACCTGTGCTTTCCAGAATTAGTCCCTGTTCAACACTTCTTGTCTTACTTTCATGTTTAAAAGGGTGATTTAAAATGCTGCCCTCGTCTCATTCCAAAATCTGTTCTAGACATAGAAATCCTATTGCATGTTTTACGTTTACCATTGCTTCTGTTTTTAAAATGAATTGACAAATGCTTATTTTGAAATGTATAATTTAGGATACAGATAAAGCAGTGCCTATAGGAAGAATAAATGTATTGGCACCTGTAAAAACAACTCCAATTCTTTTTCCTCTAGAAAGCAATAGTTAATGTGAAAGGTTTGTTTCTTCTTATGCCAGGTTCCAGCTGCTTCACTTTGTTTAAAACTGACTTCAAAGTTTAAACACTGTCCTGTCCCAACAAATAACCTCCCCCAGATGGAATTATCTTGAGTACTATCCTTAGTGCTCTGAATACCACACCTGCAGCCTTTTAATTCAACATTTTATAAACTTTCCAAAGGGAAATGAAACATTTTTTTCTGTCCTCTAACTTATGCTTTTTGCAGGGCTGAGTTTAGCACAGGGAGTTCTATTACCGGGGGTGAGTTTACAGATATTTGAGAAGAATCTAAAAAGGTGTAATTAGTATCTCAACTGTGCTGATTATTATGAAAGAAAGCATAAGAAAATGGAAAATCTGAAGAGCTCCAAGTTCAACAACTTTTAATGTAAAAATCTTACCTGTAAATACAGATGCGAGGTACAGATTGGGCTCCATTTGTGTCCGATCCGTATCACCTGATGAAGCTACATTGAAATTTTTTTCATAAGAAAATCCATTAGGCCTAGAAATAACTATGATTCCTTCCTATTCACTAAAAAGAACACAAACTACATGCACTCCCACAGTTACTCTCATAAAACCAGGTAAATAGAAGCCTGATCTAATGGCCTTAATATAAAAAAGGAAGTCAAACAGCTGAATTTTAATCATTACCAATCAAAAAAAAAAACCCACCTTACCTAATGGATTATTTTCTCTATGCATCAAAAACGAGGGAAAGGGGGAAATGAAGAATCATTAGAGAATTTGCAATTTGTATTAACTAAGAGAAACTCATGGACCATTTCTTCCAAGGTTAAAAGTTTTTGCAGATTCTCTTACTTAGGGATTTAATGGTTACAAAAAGAAGTTTAGAATCTCCCTTCACCTGGGCCAGTCTGGGGCATCCTGCCCAACACAATCTATGTGAAGCAGCCAGTAATGTTGTCAGAGAACACAGAAGGCCAGTACACTGTTACACCAAAGCCGAATTTTAATATCAAAATGAAGTAGGCTGGGGAAAAACTATGGCTAGGGAGTTATGAAGTCAACTTAAATAACTGAAGAAAGAAACCTGTAGCACATGTGGTTCTCTAGCCCACAAGGCACGCTGGGCACCAAGGGCTTGTGCCCGTGTTAATGGCATGCTGTGAACCTGTGCTCTGCAACACAATCGATAACTATCAATATTTGTTATTTCAAACAAATCTTTAGGGCAGAATGATTTGGAAAAAATTGAAAGATGGTATAATCAGTATTTTCTGGTTTTCTCTAAAAATCAGCATCTCTCAAGTTTCCTTTACTTCACAAAAATTTCAGTGGATTTGGAAGAAGATATTTAAATGAACATTATTTTAAGCAATGCATCATTGATTAAAGCAAGCAATAGATTCTCACTGGTGACAAACATTCATGTCAGCTATTGTAATCATCCTGTTGGAAATCTAAAAATTAAGTATGTCAAAAAATTAAATGTAATACAGATGAATGAAGAAAAAAAGCTTACAAAGAATGGTTTTAGAAGAAAATATAGTTTTATGAGGTAAGATTGTGGGCAAATACAAGTTATCTGTTATATTGACAATCTGCAAATAGACCAAAATTAAACATCCAACTCTGATATTGTTTTAAAATAATCTTTACATGTATGAAAAGTGCTTATTATGATGTTACTATATAAACACTGTCTATTTTCACTTCCTACTCTGCCTCTAAGTTTCTGAGAAAGAGGGAGAGGTTACTGCTTGGCCCCTTTACAGCTACCTTTCCGATTTTACACAGCACCTATAGTACAAAGGTGGCCACAATGGTACCAATCAGTCCCACCTCAGAGGCCCCTTCCGTTGAAGAACCACTTCGTGTGTGTGTGTGTGTGTGTGTGTGTGTGTGTGTGTGTGTGTGTAGCAAGTAAAATTAAGTGGCAGCCTGCTCTGAAGTGATTGCTTCAAGGCCCAGAATTTAAACTTCTCTATTGTGTTATAGTAAGAAAAAGCAACGTCATCCCCTTTTATACCAAACAGAGCTGGGTAGAAACTAAGAAAAGAAAAAGGAGATCTACCATAGGTCTAGCTAGGATTCCATTAAAATTTTTTTTTATGTGTCCATCATTATTATAGGAGGTGTTGTAAAAACCACAAGGAAGAGTAAGACAGTCTTAATCCTCTTTAACCATAAAGACAAAACTACAGAGTTGACAGTAGTGAGCAAATCTCCCAATTAATACTCCTGTTCTACCTCAAGTATAAGGGATTTTAAAGACTAACAATTAATTGAGCTCTCTGCCTGTTAACATCATACCACTTCTAGCTGTTAATGTTTCCATTCTGTAACTCAAATTCTTCTTCTATTCTTGGTAACTTCTCTTTGCCTCTTCTTGTTCTAGTGCCTTCTTTTTTTATTCTCTTTAAGAAAGTGCTATATATTGTACCTGGCTGGCTTTGGAGAAAGGAGCTGTGAAACCTCTTCTAAACAGCGATTTTCAACAGGATTGGGGTAGGGAGAAGGGAAAATCTGAATCGCTTTTGGGGCTTTTTCTAACAAGGCCTCCCTTCCATTCTGATAGGTCCACCCTCCAAAGGAGGTGTTCTCCCTCAATGGGACTTGCCGCTGCAATGAAACACCTCGGAATTCTTAACAACCTAAATGTGAATTTTATACACTGCATAGTCTTTGCAATAAAAAGGAGCATGTTTTCTAATATTCAGATTCTTTGCTTAACAAAAACATTTTCCTGAAACTTACAAAAACAACAGCTTATTTCTGCTTTATTAAAACAATGAATTTTAACTCAAAAAAGAATAACTGTTTCATTACTCCAAACCAAAGCATACTTAAGTCATTTCTTTATATCCAACAAAGCAGCGTTAGTAAAAACATCCAAATGGAAATAATATGCTAAATCTGTTATTATTTTTAAGATGTGCCTTCAGTAAGTCATTTCATAGGCTGAAGTGATTTACTGCAGTGCTGGGATTTTCATAAAAGAAAAGAAAAAATAAATGGTTTGCCTCCATTATTCTTCCTTATTTTCCCTAAGATGCCTAATTCAGTCCTTTATGTATAGTTGTTCAAGAAATAGCCAGCCGACCAATGTTTCTGAAACCTTTATATCATACGGATATACTACTCTGTGATCTTTTAGAAGTCATTTTCTGGAAAAAAAAAAAAACGCCCATTTTATTCTATTCAGTCTACACTGTAGTATGAAAGATAAAAAAAAAAAAAAAGTTGCAAGTAACTGACAAGCAGACACGATATTCAAGAGTCAGCTGTAAGCCAGTAGCTAAGAGCACAAACCTGGAAGCTAAACTGCCTGAATGCAAATCACCGTACCAATGGGGGCTAGCTGTGACCCCTGGGAGAAATACCACCACTTGGTGGGATATTACCATTTTGTGCTTCAATTTCTTCTTCTATCTCATGGGTTTCTTATGATCATTAACACAGATTATATATGTAAATAACAGAGCAGTGCTGACATTTATTACTCAACAAATGGTAGTTTTATTATTTTGTGGCTTGTGATTATTTCGAAATAGTTTTGGACAGGGAGATTTTTGTTAAAGAAAAAGCAACTTTGCTGCTCATATATTACAGCAGTAGAGCTGCAAGGGATCCCCGAGATCGTCTTATCCTTGCTAAGATGGTAATCAAGATTCAGAAAGATTAACTGACAAATCAAGGTGACATATTAGTAAGAGGGACTGAGCCCAAAGCAAAACAGTTCTTTCATCACCTCCCAACTTTTTCATACTCTTCTACTAGGCTATGTCTTCAGATATTGAGACCTGTCAGAACAATCAGAAATTCTCTCTACTACTTTTAAGAAAATTACCAAGGAAGGAAACATAGTATAATGTTTTAAGATTTAAGAGCACAGCCTTTGCTTTCAGAGTTGGACTACATTTGATTCCCAGTTCTGTCATATATTAGCTATGTGTTCTAGGGCAAAATACATCAAGTCTCCGAGCCTCAGGTTCCTCAGATACATAATGAGAATAGTATGATCTACCTAACCGGGTTGATGATGGCTCTTAGCAGAGTACCTCACATACAGGAAGTATACACAGATGGTACCTACTATGTGTGGTTGATATTATAAATGTAAACAAAACTCTGCCCAAAGTGGGAGACAGTCTTGATTCCTATAATAATTTCTCCTAACAGTAAAAAAATAAAATAAAATAAAATAAAATAAAATAAAATAAAATAAAATAAAATAAAAAAGTCACTATCTCAGTATCAGAGTCATCTATTGTCATCTGTCCCTTTAACAAGTAGCTGCCTCATAATTCACACTTGCTGGGTGAGGGGGTTCACTGAAAAGGTGAGTACTGTGCCTTGCAGGTGAGGATTCAAACACACTGTATACCCTGGCCAACGTGATTTAAAACTGCTTCCCAAACTTGTTGTCTCTTACACTTCCTCATCCTACTGCTCAAAAGTGAAGAAACATAACACTCATTGGTATTTAAGTCAAAGGCTGAGAAGGGAAATTTTCCAAATATTTGATCTACAAATTTCTATGGAACTTAGCAGTGGATAAAGCTAAATAAAAAATTGAGTCACAAATAACCTAAGCATATAATTTATCCTTTTAAATGTGTTAACCTTTATCTAAATGTTTAAAGATATCATGACATCAAAACAAGTGATCTGAAATGGAACCCAAGGCTGGGAAAGCAGGGACACTGCTGAAAAAGCTTTAAATGAGGACACACACTGGTTACTAGGCTATGGTAGCACTTGTATACTATGCTTCTCCCAAACACTCACCTTAGTTCAATACTTCAGCTTTTTATCTAAATGGGCACTCAAAATCTTGTAGCTACATGGTGCCCACTTGAAAGGAGGCCACATTGTTATAATTCTTTTCTTTCTTTTTATTACATGTTATTGTATTTCACAAGGTGGTATTTAAAAGGATAGCAACCCGGGCTTTACAATGTTTGTACTCTTGTATTTACAATTTTTTTATTATTGGCTTGAAAGTTTATCTTTTGGTTTTTAATACTACCTTTAGTAAGAATCACCACTACAGCAATACTTAAATCTATACATTATTATTTTAGATTATGATTTTAAATAAATTCTCTATGGATTATTTAAGAAAACTGCATGGCACTATATGGCTGTTAAGGATATAAAGTTGAAGACGTCAAATAATAAATTTTTTAGCCCACAAAGCAAGAGTTTTTTAAATGGGTGCCATCCAGAATATGAAACAAAAGCTAATACGGAGAAATCTAAAATGAATAATGTTTAGAATACCTGGATGTTGTATACCAATTTGAGTTCACTGGGGAAAAAAGGGACCATTATTAGAGTAGTTAAAAAAATATAAAAAGAAATTAACACCTTTTAAACAAATAATCTGGCCAGATTAAGTTACTCATTGGCCACCTATCTAACATGTATACCATTCTCTCCAATAATAGCATTTTAGAAATCATATCTTGGCAGCGTAAAAGCTTATAGTCAACTG